TGCAGTGGAAGTGAGAACAGACCCTGAAAGTCTGGCAGGAGATAGAGAATCAAATTTCAGGCCTCGTGCAGTGAATCTGCCAGTAGTTAATATGAGTGCTTTGACTAAGCAAGAAAAGAAAAAATCCCCTTAAAGTGCCTAACTGATATTAGGAGCCTAGACACTGTTCTTGCACACTGTTCACGTTTCCCTGGGCTTATTGGTGTTTTCTTTTTCTTTTTGAAAAGACAACAGTGTGCTCCTAAATGTGCTGTACGAAGGAGCACTGCCCAGCTGGGGTCAGGTTTGCTGGGTGTGATGGTTCATTGACATAGTGACACTGAAATAGTATTTCTATTTCTGCAGAATGAGCCAGGTTAAGCTGACCTTAGCTCAGAAATTTGTTTCCACCATAGGCAGTGGACAGGCACTTAGAGAGGAGTCTGTGAAGTGCTACATAGATCTAAAACTCGTGACGGCTTATTGTGTGGCATCTGCTGAGTTAGCACCTGAACTATCATGTTCTGCATCTTCTGATGACTGTGCCCTTAGTGATTTCACGTAAAATTTTGCTTCAGTTAAACACTTTCAGTTTCTACAGCGTCCTGTGGCTGTGTCTTCTGCAGTTTGTGTATGAAGCAGGACACTTCCTTTCTTTTACATTTTCTGCCTGTAATTTTACTGAGAACTTGCTAATTATGGCAAAACGGAGTCAACATTTGGTGTGTGACTTCATCATTTTGTATTTTCTCTTCCAATCCCAGTGGTTATTCTTCCAAACCAAAATGCCATGTTCTCCCCAGGCACTTGGTTGCTCTACAAAGATTATACTGGGGGTTTCACAAAATCTCTTCCTTCCAGCATGCCTGCTGTCTCACAGCAATCACTACACCTATCCTTAAAGCAATATTTCCTGTCCACTTCTTGGCAAGTCCTCCCACACGGGCTTCCTCTTTCTCTTTCCTGTCATTTTTGTAGTTTGTCCCCTCCTTGTCCAGACCTGATGTGATGCTCCTTTTTCAAAACAAAAGGGAGAGAAGAGTTATGAATGTTGATGGTGAACAGAGATTTGTGATTGCCAACCAAAGTTCACAAGTTGTACAGATAAACTCTTTTGGTCCTGCTTTCTATTCAAGGTAAATCAGTCTTAAAGAAAGATACTCTACAATTTAGTAACATGTGCACATAGTCACGTATCATACACTCTGAGTTAACCCTATGTGAATTCATAATCAATGCAGGCCAGAAGTGTCAACTCAGCCTATGAAGAGCTTGTGTTGATGTTCTTAGCACTGCCTTTGGGCTGAGTCTGAGCACATCATTCCTTATCCTCTCTCCAAAGTGAGTTCTTTCTGCATGAATCCCATCCTAACTTCACAGGTGACTATTGGGATGCTGTCCTAGTAGTATGCCTGGCCCCTTTGAGTTCAGGTCTCAGAGTGAATTATGGAAGACTGGAAAACAAAGGGAAAAAAAAAAAAAAAGTACAATATTTACTAGTATCTCTGCACAAAATGCTGAATTTTATATGGCCCTTCCCAGAACTTGGATCAATGGGTGCTTCAGCAGAACGGAGACAAGGTGTTCTTCAGCAAGAGAATTGCTGGCTTGCTGATCAATTGAAGCTTGGTGTTGGGCAAAAATATTTTTTTCCTATTGAAGACCTGATTACTCACTTCTGGCTATAAGATCAGTATTACTCTACTGGGGTTAAAAATTCTGAACCATATCTGGCAGCTTTTACATAAGTAAGCAGTGGCAGGAACACACCCCAGAAGTTTTCTTGGGCAATAAAACTATCCGCTATTTGCACTTCAGAAGAGAAAGGCTGGTAAAGGGGTTTCTTTTTAATGGAGCAAAGGAGATGAGGGAGGCTGCAATCAGAGCAGTGACTGCAGTATCAGCAGGAGCAGATTCTCAGCCACTCTCTGCTTCCTTTCTGGAGAAGGCAGCTGTGACCATGAATAACAAACAGGAAAAACAGAGGCAGGTCTTTTTTTTTTTTAATAAAAGTAGGGCAAGGGGAGGGATGAGAAGCTTGGGCTTGCTTATGTAAGGGTGAGTACAAAAGGGAGTTCCAAGACCCCCTCCAGAGATCAGGAGGAGTGAAGCAAAAGAAGGGCAGGAACTTCTTCGTTGAACAGCAAGCTTGAGAGGTTTGTGCTTCTTTATACCTTTATTGTGGGTATTGAAAGATGAGAGTTGCAACAGAAAATCGGGGCTTTCTTTGTACAGGCAATGATTTTAGGAGGGATCTTGCTTCTATGTTCTTGAATCCCTAGCTGCTGGAAAGCCCTGGGGAACTGGTGGAATTGCTGTCTTTGGAGGCTTTCAAGAAAAGGCAGCTATGGCACCTAGGGATGTGGCTTAGTGGGTGGGCATGGTGGTGATGGTTTGACAGCTGGATGAGATGACCTAAGCGGTCTTTTCCAACCTTATGATTGTATGAAAATTTTTCAACCACTTTTTTCCCAGTGCAATTCTTCTGCCACGGTTCTCTTTGGGGACAAGAGTCATCACAGCTGACAGGCAGGATACTTTTTCTCTGGCAGAGTGGTCAGGTGTTGGAACAGGCTGCCCAGGAAGGTGGTGGAGTTACCATCCTTGAAGGTGTTCTAGAATGTTTAGGTGTTGTGCTGAGGGATGTAGTTTAGTGAGAATATTGGTGAGTTGTGGACAGTTGAATTGGGTAATCTTTGAGGTCTTTTTCAACCGTGGTGATTCTGTGATAGAGACTGTCATCCTGCTGAAGTCTAGCTTTTCAAGCACAGCATCATTCCTAAAATGATAGCAGCTCAACAAAATTAAGCCTGACAAAAGCGTCCACGTATAGTAATTGGGATAATGCTTGTGCTCTCTACCTTAAAAAGAGCTCAGAAGTGAAATGAAAACCTGTAATTAAGTCATACTAGGAAAAAATATGTTCCCAGTTGTGACAATGCATACTCTCTATAATCTTAGAGTATCTTCTTTAGTATAAAATGAAAAAGTAAATGTCAGAGATCTAAGAAATACACTACTGAATGATGCGTAATTGTAGGGGAATGCTAATTGAATGAGCATAAGGGACTGGCAAACTTGGTGGGAGTTGTGTCTGAGCTTTGCACTGGGGCATAAACATGGGCAGAAATCAAAGTCTTTACCACCATAAGGCACAGTTACCACCATGCTGTTGAGAACTGTGCCTACAGACAGCAAAAGGAGAGCGTGATTCACTGCAGGAGCTGCAATGTGATGTGGTTACAGCCTACAGGGCAGCTGGAAGCTGGGATTACCCAGGCTGCTCCCTCTGGGTGCTACAACAGCATTTCTGTATCACATGTGAGGCAAAATGACTTAAGAAAAAAAAAAGTACAGTAGCTAAGGGTTAGATGATTTCCCATCCAGTACATAACATCCACAATAAATACGTAAGTCTGGCAGCTTATTACTGAGCAACCCTCATTAAGGATACTTTTCAGTTTTATAGAGCACAAGGTGCCCTTTGCTGAAACAGCCCAGACTTCAGTGTTCTTGATACTGAGAACTTCAGATGGAGCTTGCATTTTCTCTGTGCCCAGGCCTGACTCAGTAGGATGCAGCAGGCTGGCTGTGGTCCATGGGCATGGTGCAGCCCAGCTCAGAACATGCTGCTAGGCCCGATGCCTCCTGCAGGCCTGACTGCTTTGGTAACACATGCACCTTCACTGGCCCTGGGGAATGGAAGGTTAAAAAGGGAGATTACAATCTTTAGCTGAACACAATGCATTCTTAATGCAAGAGCTGCTTCTCCCTTTGCTTGGATGTATGGCTGGGCTCCATGCATCTTATAGCCATTTGGAGATGGTGCAGATGCACAGGGCTTGTTCTGCAGCCAGATGCTCCTTAGATTCAGATGGAGAAAACACGTTAAATATTTCAAGCTGTTTGTTTAGGCCTTGTTGCATGACAGCATGCCATATGTGGCTATGCTCAGGACTGTTTTCAAACCTCATTACAGCTTAAGTAGTGAAACTGTTCAAATGAAAGGCAGTGCTGCAGAGATGGACGTTTTCCATCCCTCCATCAGGGCTCAGATGTCACTGACAGACCCTTCAGTTTCACCACTTCCAACAGCCCAAACTCATCTAAAACTTTGTTCAGTCTTTCTTGGCTTGCTTCTTGAAGTCCTCATGTGACTGAACTCTATAGCACAAATTGGGCCTGACTGGCTCTTTAAAACTGAGACCCTAGGATGTTGTCAGTTCTATTCCCATTAAGGCCATAGGATTTAAATTGCTGACTATAATGATGGTGCTGAATGAGACCATCTATGTCACCCCCAGTTTAATTTACCACTTACTTGCTTAAAGAGGAAGAGGGGCCATACAGGGGAGTAGGTCTCTTCCAACCTGAGCAATACTATGACTCTAGGCCAAAGCTGGAAGTTTGCTTCCAAAGCAGCAGAAAGATCTCTGAGTCCCTCTCTTTTTTTTTCTAAATAGGACTGTTGGAAGTTGAGACTGGGAGAGGTGAATTCTGTTACCTGGATCTGGTGTCCTAATCCCTTCTAGTTTTCATCCTCTTCTTTCCAGCACATTTGCTTTGAAAAGGAAAATGAATAAACTGTTGATGTTATGGGTAGATTAAGAGGATAAAAATTGAAATATCCCACTCACTGATGTGTCACAATCACACTGACAAGCCATAAGTTAAAGATTTTTATCCAAGAAGAAAAATATCTGATCTGACTGCAAAAACTGCAAGCACAAGGAAATCTGCATTTATTTGAGTCTGGCACAAAATAAGCAGGGTTATTTTCAGGTCCTATAATCAGTTCTTCTGCATAACAAAACATCGGTGTCCATCTTAGTCAATGTGTAACAGCAGGCTGCACAAATGAGCTGGGTCGGGTTAAAGGTTGTGTATTGATCTTTAGGGTTTTTTGTGCATCGTCCAATGTTAAATTGCACTCGAGTTTCATTGGGTCCTTTCTGGTATGATTTAACTTTTTTCAGCCTTCCCACCCATGAGGTAGCTTTGTGCAATGCTACTGGAGACATTTGGGAAGGCCCCCAAATTGGGAAGGGCATAAATGCCCCTGCAGCCACCACGCACTGCTCAAAAGGAACCACAAGGAGTCTGCCCCAGAGGACAGGGCATCTGTGGGGGACAGCAGCACGGACACTAAGCACACACGGTGGGTTTGCTCTGAATGCCAGTTGTTCACCTCAAGTTTTCTTCCTTTTCTGAAAGGCTCTGTGTGGATTCACTTAGGGAAATACAGCATGTTTGCTTTGCACAGATCAGGTTGTTTAAGTGGCAGCAGTGAGAACTGCCCTCCTGCTGTTTCTGCCTGTGAGAGTTGGTGTGGTGGCTCTGGGGGAAGCAATCTGCCAGCACCAGCTGCTGTGAGGATGAAGGCAGAGAGTGGAGGGAATAGCAGCACCAGCTACTGCTGCCGATGTGCTGATTTAGAAGATGGGATGGGAGTAACTACAACAGCAGAAATTCCTTTTGTAAGCCAAACCTGTTAGACATGTGCCTACAGCCTGAGAATGTGAATGCATGTTAACAGACACGTACCTAGTGAGGTGTCTGTCTAATTACTAAGTGTCTATTCCTCTCAGGTTTTGCGTTTGCAAGAGGGTGGTGATACTGCAGACCCGAGCATTATTAGGCATGAAACACCTGGAGATCCCTGAGCAAAACGAATATTGTTATACCTTGTAAATCAGGTGGGGTGTCAGCTCTCAAATGGCTGGATTTAATCCATAGCACTTCCACTCTGTGTAAATTAAAGCGTTAGTGAGACAGACATTGCACTGCATCTTCCTAAAAGTGTCAAGCTACCAGGCTGGCACTACTTGGAGACTGTCACCACTCAAAAACTGGAGGAAGAAGGTGGAGATCAGAGCTTGGTTAGCATTTCGCTTGTTCAACAAACTCTGCAGAGACTGGAAAGGGCAATAAGAAGGTGAAAAGAGTTGAAACAAACAAGATATGACTCGTGGTGTAAAAATGTAGCCCTGAATAACAGCATTATGGCCCATAACAAGCATTACTCTCATGGAAGAGTAATGTCTTACGCATTTGGATTTCAACTATGTGAATCTGAAGCTGTAGACTACAAACCCAAGGAAGGTGCAGCAGAGTTATTAGTTATTAAAAAAAAATAATGATACAGGAGAAGTGAGAATTACAAATACAGAGAAGTTGTCAGTGTGTTTATGTATACAAGTGTATGTGGATATGTATGTGCACGCATACATGTTGTGCCTTTCTTGTAACCTATATGCAGCTGATCCCTTGTGCTAAAACACTGGTAATGTCCATGTTCAGGAGAAGTCTCCATTTCTAGTCAGGAAAAACAAGAGCGGCAGGAAACCTTTTACTGGAGAAAAGGATTACTTGTGCAACAGAGAAAAACTGAGTTTATCTTTCTTAATCCTGTTTTTAAGTGACGAAAGTGCTATGAAGATAAATACTTGGTTTCAGCGGCAACACACTTGTGTAAGAGAGCCTTGAGGCAGTTTGTCTAGAAGCTAGAATGAATGTTTGCACTGGGCTGTGGAAATATGAAGTGCTTTGTTAGTGCCATGCACTACACTGACTTGACATACAGAGCAGGAGAGCTCAGTGATGGGACCTTAAGAGAACTGGTTTTCAAACCCACTTCCCCCGTAACAGCAGGCAAATCGCTTAGCTTGTCCTCGTGTCAGCAAGATTTAGTGCAGCAGTATGCAGGCAGATCTTTGACTAGGTCCCAGGAGCAATATAGCTGCATTGTTATAATGTTTTGAAAGAACTAGCAGTCTAGTTTGCAAGCCTAGCTCACTGAGATCTGCAGCCCTGTTTCTTACAGTGCACAGTCTTCAGGTTGTGACAGTGGGTAATGCAGTCAGATCCACATTTAGCATTTTCCCATCTGCAGCCACTGAATCTGGTGGTCACTCCACCCTGGCCTTTTTGTTGAGCAGACAGTGCAGGCAGCACTAGACACTGCTTCCTGCCTTTGTAACACACGAAGTGCGAGCACCTCACCATAAAGGAAACAGCATTTATAAGAGGCTGATCAGTCTTCTTTCCTCCCTGCTTTTTCTTTCAGCAGACGCTGTGGAAGTGGTTTTTCAGCATGAAGCTGGCAGCAGACCTTCTCTGTTTGCTCCTGTGCTTCACTGCAGTGGGTTGCGATCGGGTCTACGTCCACCCTTTCAGTTTGAATGCTGTAAATGAGAGTGCCTGTGAGGAGCTGGAACACTTGGCCCAGGAAGGAAAGAAAACATTTGTGCCTGCCTCCATTGAATCCCAAACCACGCCTGCCTATGAAGAGGATGTGAAAAATGAAGTCAGGCTAGATTCCCCTAGCCTAAGTGTCCGTGGAAGGCAGAAACTTATCTACCTGAAGGACTTCGTACATGTCCTTGGCATGCGATTTTACAGTTTGCAGAGGGAAGCACGGCAGGGCCAAAATGTCCTGTTGTCCCCTACCAGTCTCTATGGCTCCTTGGCGTCTTTCTACTTGGGTGCATCCAATCAGACAGCTGCTGATTTGCAGGGTTTGCTGGGATTTGTTCCCCCCTCTGGAGACTTCGATTGCACCTCCAGGGTGGATGGGCACAAGCTCCTTGCAAGCCTGAGGACTATCGAAAACCTTGTCAAAACCCAGGATGAAGATCTGCTCTTTTCCAAGATGTTCTGCCTCTTCTCTGCCCCTGGCATACCCTTATCCCAACAGTTTGTGCATAACTTGCTCCGCTCTGCTGATGCTTTTTACACACGAGCTGTGGACTTTACAAACCCAAGTGAGGCAACAAAACAAATAAATGCCTTTGTGGAGGCCAAAAGCAAAGGCCAAAGCAAGCACATACTGACAGACCTCGACCCGACTACTGACTTAGTGTTCGCAGTGGATGTTCGCATGGCAGGTGAGAGGGAGGCAAGTACTTATGTTGAGGCAGACTGGGTGGAAGAAAGGTTAGCTACTGTGCTTCCAGGGTAGAAACAAGGCCAAGAAGTGAGAGAGAAGAGCTCACTCGCATGGGAACCTTGAGCACTGCTCCATGCAGTGTCCTGTTCCTGGGGTTCTGCCCACATGCCACCTCCTCTCAGCCAGCCTCAAGATAGCCAGGGCAATGGAGAAGAAGTGGAGGGGGTGGCATCAGGGGACTTTTCCTAGACCAGCTAAGGTGAAGAAGGGCTTGGGAAGGTGAATAATAGAGTGCTATGCATGATTTCTTACAAAAAAAGTATCTAAATGTCCTGAGGGGCTTTGGGCAAAAGTCATCTGGAAAATAGGTTTAAAGCAAACAAAAGCAATACCTTTCCACAGGCTAAAGGAAATATCAAGGTCAGAAAGTAAGCCACCAGTTAAGGAAGCTGGGAGAATATGCAAAAACTAGAAATAGGGCAATCTCATAATTATGTGGTGTTATTCCATTGCTAATGTGCCAGAACTCCCTCTGTTTTGCATCTAAGAGTGTAGTTGGTTTTCAGCATCCTAATGCCTGAATGCAATATCAGAGATGGCAAATTTTTGGGCAATCTGTGTAACAGTGACTGTACTTCAGAAAATTTGCAGTGAATCATAAGTTTCTAAGTGGGCTTCTACTGCCAGCACTGGAGCTCTGGTGTTCATAAAATGCTTTTGTACCTTTATCTTCTCAACTGCAAACTTGATTTCAGATTTCCTTTGCCTTTCATGAGTGCTGTCAGAGGATGCTCTGTAATGCTCATTAACTGACCCAAATTCTGCAGAAGAGGTGTGACAGACCATTACCTTTTAGTCAGTGTGAGGTCTACCATAGAGATAGCACTACAAAAATAATTTTTTGAATTGAAGACTAGGATGCAGAATTTTCTTTTAACAGAGAAATTTTTCTTTTTCTATATAGGAAACTTGTAATTTTATTTGCTTAGCAACACGTCTGAAGCTCTGAACGGCACTAGGTCAGCTGTTCTGCCTCCTCTTTCAAAACAATGCACTTGAGATGCTGCATTCTCCACCTGTGGGCTGGAGAATATTGGCTCAAGGATGAAATAATTAGATAAGTAACTCTTTATTAATAAACGTGGGAAATGGGTGGCAGCATTGGCTTGGCCATTTGACTACGGAGGGACAACAATGACAGCTTATGCTGTCTTGTTCCATGTTCTGCCTTGTAGCTGCAGGAAGAAAAAAAAAAAAAACCCAACATTTTGCTCTGACACATATTATAGAGGTTTATGAAACGCTTCAAGAGCCAAAGGATTGATAGAATGATGTGGCAGAAATCTGAAGGCTAAATTTCCTCAAATAGTCTCAACTGCTGCTCACTTCTCACAGTTGTTTTCACATTTATAGACTTACTGCTGAGCAGGAACTGCTATTCAGAATCCAGCAGGGAACATTAAGTGCAAATCTTACTGATTCAACTTTTTTTTTTTTTTTTTTTTTGAGGTTGCAAAATAATTACCAACCAGTGAGTGAAGACACTGCAGTTGCATACATGATTTTAAACCCACTGGCATTTAGCAAAACAGCGTACAACGAAATGGTGATATTCCCAAGCAGCACCCTTGCTTCGGAGGGCAGACTTTCTGCATCCAAAGTCACGTTAAATGCTCCAGAAGCAATCAGCTTCCTGGCATGTTGTGTTAAGCCTTTCTGGAAGCTCCTTTCATTTAATGGGAATGCAGAAACTGCCTGGAGCTAATCCAAGGTCTGTGCCCTCAGGCATTCACCCTTGCCAGAGGGCAGTGCTGCTTCGGGGAAAGGAGTGAGAAACACCAGTAGGCAGCCTACTGATCACTTGCTGCCTCACAGAGTTGGGCATCACTTTATTTTCCCCTCAAGACCAGGTTAGGTTTTTAAAAATCAGTTACTATCCCAATTTAATGCATTTAACCTGAAATTTCAGTTCTATTCATTTCTCTTTTAATTCTGTTCTTGGCTTCTGCTCTCCTGGGCCTAAGTTTGGCAAGGTTACAGATGCTGTGAAAGTGGCTCGTTACTGCTTTCAGGTGCTTTCTCTTTCTCCTGAGATGTGGAAAAAAAACAGTGAGCAACTCTTTTCTGTTATTTTGTTGTGTTCATAGAATGGCTTAGTTTGGAACAGAGCCTAAAGCCTTCCCAGTTTCAGCCCCCTGCCATGGGCAGGGCTGCCACCCACCAGCTCAGGCTGCCCAGGGCTCTATCCAACCTGGCTGAGAGCCTCCATGGATGGGGCACCCACAGCTTTTCTGAGCAGCTGTGCCAGTGCCTTGCCTGCCTTGCATCTGCCTTCCTGGCTGCCTCAGCTGTGAGAGGGCACTGCATAAGGGCTGCCCTGGCAGATGGGTTCAAAATATGCAGCTGTTGTGCACAGTCATCACAGCTGCATGGGGGATGTAGAAGGAATCCATGTCTTCTGCATCTCACTATAAGCCATTCAAGAACTGCTTAGCAGCTTGGGAGGGAGTAAACAACTGAGCAGGCAGACATTTCGGCCAGCTTTGTAGCCCTTTATGGTTGCAAAAAGTGGTATAAACACAGCAGTTTTGATCAGTCTTGATAGCATTTCAGAACCTGTGCTGTGAGTCTGTCCCAGCCTCTGCCTGATGCTACCAAAAGGCGTATTAAGGTAGGTTACACAAACTTGCAGTAGCTAAATGCAATTGTACATGTGCAATCCTTGTCAGAGACAGTGTGTTATAAACAAACATAGCCCCCAGTTAAGGGGCAGAGGGGAGAATGAGAAAGAAGAATCAATTTAAATTTTTTTTTTTGTTTGTTTGTTTTTTTGTTTTGTTTTGTTTTGTTTTTTAGTGAATGCTAAGAAAGCCTCTCGGATGAAAGATCCTCAGGAGTTCTGGGTTGATTCAAACAGGGCAATCTCAGTCCCCATGCTGTCAGTAACTGGGACGTTCAAGTACATGACCGACACCAGTGAGACCTTTTCTGCAACTGAAGTCCCTGTTGGCAAGAACGTTCTGCTGGTGCTGCTGCAGCCCATCAATGGCAATGACCTGGACAAAGTAGAGGCTGAGCTTCCCTTGCAGTCATCAGCCTGGCTTGAAAATCTGTCCCCAAGGTACATTTTGGACACCATATGATTTCCTGTAAGAATGAATGGGTGAGGGTGTGCAGTGCAGCTCTGCCTACTTCCTGCTCTAGAGCGAGGTTTGGATCCTGCCACTGAGAATGTAGCATTTAATGCAGAGATGCACAGAAACCCAGGGATGCCACATTATTAGTAGAAAAAACTTCCACTGTGTGGCAACTGACAGATCTATACAATGTGAAATGCGTTGCAACAGATAGGTGATGACAGAAGGACAGGCACAATAGAAAGGTGCTATAAAGGAAGGGAAGATGATTGCTGACCCGTATCAGAAGATTCCAAGGTTCACAGGAGAAAGTTTCACCAAGGAGGGATCCCCAACCAGAGATCCTTCCCCTGTGGGGGAAGCCCTTAAATGAGGCCTAACAGAGGTGCAGCCAGGTTCCACACCTTCTGGTCACACAGCTGAAGCGCCTTCACCTGTGCTTCCAGGGTTGACCAGGTCCATCCTCCAGGTGCTCTATCAGTGGTTCAGGTCCTGACTCAACAGCTGCCCAAAAACTACCCAAACACTCTGCTCTGATACTACAGGATACACTCTTCTTTTTTTTTTTTTTTTTTTTTTTTTTTTTTTACTTTTTTTTCCCCCTCCAGAAAAATTAAATTAACTTTGCCTGAGTTAAGAATAGAAGACAGCTGTGATCTACAAGAATTTCTTGCAGATATGAAACTGCCTGCACTGTTGGGGAAGGAGGCAGATCTCAGTAAAATAAGCAACGCCCACCTCACTGTTGGAAAGGTACAGTACACATCACTGGTGTTCAACAAAATATGCCTCCTGTAGCTGTATAACTTCAGAATCATAGAATTATTAAGGTTGGGAAAGATCACTAAAATCATCCAGTCCAACTGTCAACCCAAGCTTTTTTCTCGTTATGGAATGAATATTTCAATGGCTTATTTAACATCCATGAGCCTGGTGGTTATGGCTGATCCAAGTAACTGATTATTGCATGTGCTTTTTTATTTACTTAAATTCTTATCATATCCTGATGCCTCACCTTTTGCGTTACAGATAATGAACAAAGCCTTTTTCAAACTGAGCAGCGATGGAACACATCAACCAGAAGACACCACAGCACAGGAAGAAGATTCAGTGCCCCAGGAAGTAATGCTGAACAAACCGTTTCTTTTAGCAGTCTTTGAAGCAAAGTCAAGGGCAATGCTTTTCCTTGGTAGAGTAACAAACCCCCTGCAGGAGGTTTAAATGCAAGCAGCAAGGAAGAGGGGAGAAGAAAAAGGATGCACATTTCCCATCACCTTTTTGTACTAATAAGCTGTTTTTATGATCATGTTGAGTGCTCTGCCCTACTTGTAGGTCAAGGGGAAAGGGTTTGAAATACAGCTTTTTAAAAACTAAAAAAAAATTACAACATCCCATCTTTTGTTTCATGCAAACCACCCAGTTCCCTTCTTTCCTTCTCCCCCTCTTCTCTTCCTCTGCTCCACCGTTTTTCAAGGCAGTGGGGATAAAACAGTAATCAGCAAGTCAACTTACACTGTTATTTTATAAGTGCAAATGCCACTTACTACAGAAAGGTAGGAAAAAGGATCAGTTTTGCAAGACATCTCTCCAATTTTTCAAATTATCCACAGGGACTTCTAGCTTGATCAGCAGTATTTGCCTTTAAAATGCTGCCAACAGCATGGGAAGGCTTTACTTGTACCACTGAGACAAGATTTTGCCTTGCAAGCAAAAACACAGTTATAGAAGTTTCTTCTTTCTGCAGCCTCGATGGACACATTTATTTCTCAACTCCGTGGAAAAACTAAAAATAGGGCTGGTAGCATTAATGAATTGCTGCAGATGAATTCTCATAGCCTGCCAGCAGTTTCTCTGATTATTTAGAAAAAAAGAAAAAAGAGGCCCACTTACTATTCCAATACAATTTCATTACTTAGAATATTTACTGATCTGAGATGCATTTATTACGGTCTTATGGTGAAAAAAAGAACATTACTGGTTAGAGGTAAGATGTGTAAGCCTTAACACATCCAAACTATATTTTCTGAGGGGGGAAAAAAAAAGAACATTATAGTATTAGTGGCAGTAATCTATACTAATGGTGGGTGTGCTGCTACATGTTAATAAAATGGTTTTAACAGTCCGAATTTTAGCAGTCACAGAACTTGGGAACATTAAACTGGAACAACAGATTATTAAGAGTTGAATCCTGAATGAGAAAGAGAGAAACTGGGAGTGAAATCTTGGTACTGTAAAAGCCTGCAAGAGCTTTTCCCTTTGATTTTATTGGCACACAGACTTCCACCTCACATTTTTAGATTTGCCTTTGGAGCTGATGGCATTCAGACAGTAACTGCAAACCCCTCTGCAGTACGATACCAGATGTATTCCACAGGGAGCAGTATCTTACTGTCATCCACAGCGGTACAAATTTCTATCTTGCCCAAAGCCACTCATGTCAGCAGCTAGCTATCGGTGCTACAGATACACAGTGGATTCTTCTACTTAATAAAAAAGACTATTAATAACACAACTCACTCTTGTGAGTACTAGGATTTCAAATGCTGTAATATCCATGCATTTATCTAATTATTCTGTATGTATTCCTGATGCTTTAACATATAAATACTGTGCTTGCAATATACACAGCAGCAATTAACTATGAATTTGCAGAACAAGAAAGCTACAAATAAAACCGACTTCTAATTGCTTTGCCACAGTTCAGTTGGATTTATGCCTGTAACAACTAAATCTCTTGTTCTAACTTTTGAAATTTGCTCTAAATCAGATTTATGTTTTACAGGACAGTAAGTTGCAAATTACTGCCACCGCTATAGCTGTAAGCATGAAACAGACAGCTTCCAAGTATTCATAAAGGCTCAATTTAAGTTATTCCACTTATTCATTGAAGCCAGAAGGTACAATCAACCGCAAATAAAACTGCAGATCATAAAAGTTTCCATTTTTACCATGAAGATGGGAGTGTAATGTAAGGGAGTCCCTGGCAATGATGCCATTAAGTTCTAGGACAAAACACCATCATTTGTAGTTGGGGGACTACAAGATACTAAAGGACTCCATGTACTGCTCAGTATTACAGAGAAGAGAAACAAGGAAAATACTGGCAGTAGAAAGCAGCTGTCCATTGACACCCTGAGGACAAAAAGGAAGAAAGTAGATGCATCCAGCTGGATGCCTAAGTCTGAGAGTCCAAATGGATTCATCCTAGGGAACTCACAGCTGGCTGATGTTATTGTAAGACCTATTTTTCAATGGTCTTGTGAATCTGGAGGGGTCTCAGCTGATTAGGAGCTGGCAAATGCAGTCCCAGGTTTCAAGAATTACAAGAAAGAAGAGCCTGCTAATTACAAGCCAGAAAATTACTCTGGGAGTTATTGAAAAACATCTGAAAAACAATGCAATCTTTGTTCACCATCAACATGGAATCACGAGAAATTGTTTAATGAACTTGTATCTCCTTTTATGACACAATTACCTACTCAGTTGACCAAAAGAGGCCACCTGATTTAATCTTTTTGTATTCCAGCAAAGCTTTCCATGGTGTTTCTCACAGCTTTCAAATGGAAAAGATGTCCAGCACATAGCTAGGCAAAAACATAGTATGATGGGTGAACAACTGGTTGGCAGGTTGGGCTCAAAGGGTAATAGTAGATGGGGTTACATCAGGCTAGTGCCCAGTCACTGTTAAGGTTCTCCAGGGCTCTGTTTTAGGTCCAATTCTCTTCCGCATTTTCATCAATTGCTTGGATATAGGACTTGAAGGCAAACTAAACAACTCTGAGGACAACACTAAATTGGGAGGAGCTGCTGACTCCTGTAAAGCGTTGCAGAGACATCCTGATGCACTAGAGAGCTGGACAATCACCAGCTGCATAAAGTTTAACAAGAACAAGCTCCTGCTTCTGCACCTGGGATTGGGCAAGCCCTGGTATATGTACAGCCTTGGGGAAGAGAGGCTGGAGAGCAGCCCCATAGAAAGGGATCAGGGGGTTCTATGTGGAAGAGAGAAGTTCTGGAGTCCGTGCTACAGTATGAAAAAGATAAGCTTTCCTGAATATTCAAATGCTGAAAAACATGGCATCTGTTCACTTTCCCAACAACATTATTTTACTGAGACTTGTTCTGACATCAATTTTACGTCTAAAATACTTACCACGTATTACTCTTCACTCCATATAGCTAATGAAGTTCTAACAGAAAGGTGGATGTGTTATTTTTTGTTTTCTTCTTTTTCACCTCCACAGTTAATAATTTTCTTGGTATTTAAGCTCCAGCTGCAAAACTTCAGTACAGGCAGCAAAGCAGATTCCAAGAAGAGCTCAGACAGAGTTCCAAACCCATGAGGGAGTTTGCCAAGCTAACAGTTTAAAAAGCTCTCACTCTTTTTATAAAATGAAACATATTAAGACAGATTTTCTCCTGGCAGTATTCACACTGTATCTTACATAACTGCATACGAAACACTACCAAAAAACAGTGAAAGCTTTTCAGTCTGCCACTTCTCAGCAGCTGTTCTGTTATTGCCACATATATTCTTCCCAGTCTTCTGTCCCATCAGAATATGGATGCAAAAATCCCACTGAAACTTAGGAAACACAGTTTCCCCAGTCCTAACAAATTCTTCCACCACACATGCAATAATGTACACAACAGGTATCCTAAGCACCATTCAAACACTGAGCTCTCAGCTGTAGTTTACATCAACAGTCTAGCGAATGAGCACCCAAAATCATGCTCTAGAAGATAGGAGATCTGGAGAAAGAAAACAGAGGATAACAACACGGATCATCATTGAGCACAGCCTACAATTATGCATAAAGTCTACAATGCATCTCCTACTCATCTCTGACTGTGTTACATATTCTTCACTTAAAGAAATGTCAGAAGGCAAATCACCCTAGGTTTGAGGAAACTCTTTAAACTCTTTTAACCATTTAAACCTTAATAACACTTAAAATTTTCAACTATGCAGTGATGCACTTTGTATTGAGGTAGCTAGGTTTCTAATCACAAGACTTCCGCATGCATTTAGGTAAAACGTATCTAACTGCAAAAGGCAAATTGATCTATACCAAATCTGAATAAATTCTAGCTTAGTATATTAAGTTCTAGTTTGAAGGGAAACAATTATGGAAGCAATAGCCAGAAAGTTAGGTACCGGTACTACAAATGACTTTTTAATTATACAGTACCTTAGCAGCTTTCTGTACGGAGCACTTCTCACCAAAAAGGTCCATTAAAAAAAATCTGTAAGATAAGAACATCTGAAATCCTAACAAGAGCTAACCATGACTCATGATGAGGCAAAGCTGATGAATGCAAAGCAACAGCAATAAACAGCGGACAGGTATTCCTGTGAACAGTTTCATTATTTCAGAACAGCTGTTCCTTAGGAAGATTTAGACAACTAGCAATACATTCGATTCAAAAAAACAAATGGGACATCAGAGTTAGGAAGACAATTTATTACATACTATTTTCATCATATATGTTCATTCTTCTACATATTAAGATTTACAAGAAAAATAATGGAAACATTTTCTTCCACTTCCCACTTCTGCAGTAAGAAGTTTAAACTTACGATTGCTTTCCATATAATGGAAAACTATTGGTAAACTCTCAATCTTTTGGTGAAACAAACAGAAGATGCACCGATTTGTTGCTTGAGATGCAGCAGGAAGCACTTCATTGCTACTTATTTGGGAAAATAACAAATAGTTCTCCTTCATCGTCAATCACGTTTTCAAAACCACTTAGGATTGTTCCACTGTAGCCTGATCCTTGGCAGTTAGAACAAGCTCTGTAAGGGCTGAAAAGCTTTTTATGTTGTTTGTTTCCAGTCCCATCTTTCGTATCTAAAAAGAAACAAAAGCAGCATTGATTTGCTTTAAAACAACAAAAGCTCATGTTGTTAAAGCAACTGGGAAAGTATATGTTTTATCTTACATTAATGAATGGTAAAAAAAATAAGAAAAGAAAACTCTACAGTAAAGTTACTACAAGACATTTCTTACCTAGGAAATCTGTTGTTCTAACAGTTAGAAAAACACAACAATGATAAACTTGAAAGTGCAATGAAATCTAAATATACTAGTAATGAAATAATCCTGAAAAGGTGTTCATTGCTGGAACTCCAAATTTCGTCCAAATGTACCAAATCAGCTCCTAAATGATTATTCATAATCTAACCCAATTCAACTTAAATTCACACATTGCAATATTGTTATTGCACATAATAGGAACACAAAAACCAAGAACCCAACTCATGCTCCTAGCTAAAAACTGCCAAATGGTATTTCCTGTTAATACTTTTCATGCCTCCACTTAAATCACTTTCCTTTCAGTTAAGCCTCAGAAATGAGAAAAGCATCAGTTCACACACAGGCCAAACGTATCTGCCTGTTATAATGCAGCCACAGCATGTGCTCATAAACAAGACTGATGACAACTGCTTGGCAACTAATGATGTAGACTACACTTATTTGTTTATATCTGCATATTACATATAGAAATGATGACTGCAAATCAGGATGTTTATGCAGTTTGATACAGCTACTACACATATTTCCTGGACTATCTTCTTCCCCTTTTTTTTTTTACTTTGGTAATTAAGGTTTCAGATTTGGCACTGAAAAGAGCTTACTACTGCGTAACACAACAAATAAGAAATCCTCTAAGATCTTGGATGTAAACCCTTGACTATGCATTAAGGCAAGGCTGGAAATACCCAGAGAAAAGACAATCAACAACTGAAGCCATGGAGTCATTTCTACTGGAGGAGAGAAGAAAATTCCCTCTGATTTGTCCACTTAGTATTTCTTTTTAGCTTCTGAGTACTAAGAAATATTTGAATTCAGAACATTGAGAAATACAAGCTTTCTCATTTATGTAAGAAATCACAGGAAAGCATCTATCGCTCAAGAAGACTCTACACTCAGGTTTCAAGTCATCTGCATTACACAGCTGTAAAAGTCAACCAAACAAAATGTATACAAAGTTTCACTTTTGAAAAATGAAGCTGAACTTTCCTCCTGCATCTCCTCTCCCTTCCCAAAACCAGTAATAGCACTAAACAAATGTTTTCTCTTTTAACTTACTTGCTCTCCAAAATACTCGACATCTAGAGCCAGCTGCAGTCGGATTTTATCATCATCACTCATGCCCCCATTTGTACCAACAGGGTTCAAAGCTGCAGTCCTCCTGGCCTGCTTCAGCCTTTTTAAGCTCTCTTCCATTTTCTTAACCGAACTCAGAACATCTGATACAGTTTCATAATACCTAAAAAAAGGAAAATTAATGAGAGCAAAAATTTCACTGTTACAAAAAGCCCACCTGCTGCACAGAATGTTATGTATGGCTCTCTTACCTTTGTGTGCTTTCAGAGAGGGCACCTTCCAACCACTGATGGATCATAGGCTGTTTCAGGACATTTCTGTACTCATTCTGCAGTCGGTAGAAGGGCTTAAGAGCACTATCAACATAAGATGAAGCTTTAGTTGGCACTTCCTGGGAGAAGACAGAGAAAGAAGGTAGAAAAAACAAATAACCTGTAATTTATCTACTGATAAGACAGACACCAATTACAGCATGTATGTAGAATGCTAAGGGTGGATGTAAGCCAAGAAATAGATACTTATTCATGCCCAATCAACAAAGAGGTCTTCATATGCAGGAAAGACACTATGACAACATCATTTA